ACTGTGTATATTTTTCCAGACAATTCAGTATTGTTTTACATGTTTACAACAATGTTGTAGCCTTAAGTGTTGCATCTATAACTAATAAGTCACTCAATGCTTTGTAACCAACCAAGGGAAACAAATAATCATAACTTTTGGGCAGTAACTTGTGGATGTAAAATGCTACTTTTACATACCTCTGACTTTAACTACAAAATGAACAAAGTAAGAGGAATGTAGAAAAAAATCTGTAGCTTATGTAATATTACAAATTCTAGCCGTGTTGGTATATGCTTTGCTAGTTCTCAGTATTTAAATCATTAGACATATGCATATTTAGCTGAAGTAAAAACCTAGTATTTTGTGTATTTTTCAACTAGCCTAAATTTAAAAATTTAATAATTAAAAAATAATGTCCATTTATTTTATAAAACGAAACTTTTGATAATTATAACTATCATACAAAGTATGAAAACTATTAAGAAATGAATAAAAAAGAAAATTAAAACGTTTGTTGTTTTATTTTTGGTAAAGCTACTAAGACTATCTGTTACTGTTCTTAATTTTGAACTGCTGACTGCAAAGGCACCCATTCAGAAACATGCATTATGAACTCTTGGTCTACTTTTCACCAGTGAATAGTGGATTGACCATTGCATTGTTATGCTGATAGGGCGAGCATGTTCAGCAATGGGTTTCAGTCCATCAGATTGCAAATCGAGCACGCTAACCAGACCAAAAGCAGAACATTTTATTCAAATTATGTTGTATGATTGTGTTAACAACATTTAACTTCTCCATGCTAGCTGCTGTTATGTTATATTTTTACAACTATAACATGATCATGGTTCTCACTAGGGTCCGAGACTCAACTTTTTTTTCAAGAGTCCTAGTGAGATTTTCAAGGGTCCCATAGGTAGAATTTAATAAACTAAAAAAAAAAAAATAGGGAAAAAACACTTCAGTGTCAATGAAAAACTTTATTTACAATGTACAATACATGTTTACCTTTTGCAATTAGAAAAGTTCATGTTAATGTTCAATGACAACTTTTATTTACAATTTACACTGCATGTTGTTTTCCTTTATGAGTGCAAAGTAATTTTCATGATAGAATTAAAATGACCTGTCTTCATCCAAAAATGTTTAAATATCATTTGCATAACCCATAAAACCTCCTAAATAAATATCAAACGTTTTTTTTTCACAAAAGCTTTATATCTGTTATTTTCTTTACCCTGACTGTATATGATACTGGTTGATTTGACTGACCTTGTAACCACCATAAAAAAGTAGGAAATAATTATAAATCTCCTCTATTTTATTTCTGGAATGACTGCAAGTTGTAACACAAAACCACAATTGTTTATCCTAAGTAGCTTAAAGTTTGTAACAGAACACATCTATTATACTTAAATTTTATTGTTTTATTGCACTTTGAACAGTATCTAACTATTATTTGTGCCACATAAATTCCAAATCATGTGGTGAACAGTATCGATTTACACACTGACTATTCTCAAACATACCTCATTAAAAAAATTATTATGAGAAACATTATTATTTATTTTACTTTAGCTAACCCAAAAAGTTTTCATTTTTTACATTTGAGTTACTTTTATATTAATGAATAAAGAATACACATGAAAAACAAGAAATAAAGTACATACCTGGGTCTTTTTTTTTTTTTTGTTCTCCACTGTCGATTAAACTTAACCCTGCTTTTTTATACTAATTGTACTACTGCATTAAAGAATTTCTATTTAATTAAATAATGCACCAAAGAACACAGAATAATAACATGCAAAACTGAAACTTTCATAACTATTACAATTTTTCTGGCTTTCTAACTGTGCGACAAAATCCCTTAAAAATTCATCTAAGCTCGTCGATGTGTTTCCTGTAAGAATAAAGTTTGAACTGGAAGAAAATAGACAATGTAATATAATGCATCATTTGATAGAGAAAAACTTTGGCTATAAATAATATAGTCTTAAATGTCAGAAAGATGGCAAATTCTGAAAGAGAGGACGTGACAAATGGGCATGGTGAGAGGGGTCTGATTTTCTATTTTATTGCTTTGTAACTAAATAAGATTGAAGGCTGTTGTTGTTCGTCCTTCGAAGTTCGAAGAAGACCACGACATCATTTTGTCTATCTGTGGCTCAGGAGTCCTATCCGAGCTAGGAAGCCTCGACCACATTCATGGCATATGTGGCTTGGTGTCTCGTTTTGAGTCGACCGCACCCGATCCTTCCGAGCTGCACGCTTCCCCTCGGCAACCAATCGACATTTACATTCTGCTGTCACCGAACCCTGCCGGACCTTCGTTCTCCAAAGAAATCTACCCTTGGCGAGCGACTCCCAGTTCACATGGTTGATGTCAAACTCTTGCAGGGATAGTTTTAAACAGTCTTTAAAATGTTTCTTCTGTCCTCCAACCGATTGAAGGCTATAACAAATTTCACAGTCATAGTATGGGTGATTAAATTTTTTTAAATATTTCCTTATAAAATTAAGAACTTAGAACTTAAATAATACTAAACTTTGATTTAGTATCTACATTCTGATGTCATTTATTCATATACATTGATACTAAAATAGTTAATTAAATTTTGAATGTAACTGAAAGGTTGTGACCCTACCCAAGGTGAAAGGGTTAATCATATGGTACTTTTACGTGGCTTTATTTTCATGCAATTTATTGTCATTGATGAACCCTGTTAGAAGTTAATTGTGGACAACTGTGTGAAAACTGTATGCTAATTAGGTTGTTATGGTACATAGTTCAGGGCAAAGTACTTGTGCTTGCTTTGTATATAGGGCATTTTGCAGTGCGTAATGGGTACCTGAGGGATCAACAAATGGGTCCTGACAAATTCTCCTATGTACCGGACCTGGGAGTTCGGGTTAACTAGAATCATATATGTTAACTTTTTAAAGTTATATGTGTAACCAGATTTTCACTTTTTTACAAGTTACAAATCAAACTTGATACAAGTCAATTTAAGTTTTATTAGGCTTTTTTTTAATTACTAGGAAACTACATTGGTTATCTGTTTAGCACAGAGCTAGGCTGTTAGTGAAATTTGCTTATTGATTAATCATCAGGCTCATTAAATGACTACATTCAACTGATTGATTATTCTCACTTGGATAGTTGGAGAAATTGGAAACTAATTTAGATCAGTTGATTGTTTTTGATTAAGCTGAACAACTGTAAAGTAAGTGAAACTAATAATGAAAACTCGTAACAGCAATATTATGATTACTTGGATAGTTGGAATAATTGAAAATAGCAAAAACTGTGATAATTAGCAACAATAATTTTGATTAGTTAATTATTTTCATGACATTAACTGATTTAATTGTAATTTTGGTTAATGAATTATTCTACATGACACTAATCAGTATAACTGTTGTTCATAGTTAACAGATTAATCAAGTTAATTGCCCAGCCCTAGTTCTGAACAAGATCTACTCTAGACCTGTATCTATTTATAGCACTGTTGAATAATTTTGATCAGTGAGCAGGTGTTTCATGCATGTATCTAAACTGTTTAAAAAAGTCAGTGAACAATATATTCGACACCCTTTGGGTTCAGTTGCAACGAAATTATTCAAAATCACACATATGTATCAATTTATTGTCTAAAAACTTGAAAATAAATACATTTTCTGCATAATTTATCATAGGTCATGTGACAAAGCATAAATCTTGACCAATATATGGTTCAGGATGACATAAATTTGACAGCTATCAGATTCAAGCTGAAAGGTAGTTATATATAGTTATATTTACATGGCAGAAAGTGTTATTGTAGTAAAATTGCAAAATTCCATTCATTTTTTGCAAAAAATTAGCAGTTTAGTATTTGAAAGCAATACCAAAAAGATGTGATGCAAATTTTTTGGGTGTGTGTTTTGTAATGTTTGGTGTCTGTGTAAAATCCAACAAAGAGACATGAGATAGTAAAGTTTTTAAAAAGAGATTATGCAGTACTTTAACTCTTTTGCATTGGGTAGGTCAAAGTGCACATCACAACTTTTTATCGAGTTACATTCAAAATTTCTATTAACTATTTTATTATAAATCTATACGAATAAACTTAGCATCAAAATGTAGCTAATAAATCAAATTTTAATGTTTATAAGTTTAATTCCAAATTTCATAAGGAAATATTTAAAAAAATCCTCAATCTCCCTTAGTATCAGGATTGTAACATTTGCTCTCTAGGTATTTCCTCTGAGAAGTATGAAATTTAAAGTAAATTACTAATCATAATATAGTTATTACCCAAGCAAAGCATAATTTTTAAAGCCTTCAATCTTATATGGTTACAGAGCTATAAGCTCGAAAATCAGACCCTTCTTTCTACGTCCACCTGTCATATCCTCTTTTTCAGAAATTACCAGTAGTTCTCTCTAATGTTTAATACTATATTATTTATAATCAATAGAAAGCCAAAGTTTTAATCTATCAAATAACTTATTATATTACATTGTTTTATGTACAGAGAATTGTTTATTTTGCTTCCAGTTCAAACTTTATTCCCACAGGAAACACATTGAGAATCGTAGCTGAATTTTTAATAGCACTTATCACATAATTAGAAAGCCAGATAAATTATGATAGTTATAGGACATTTTCTGTTTTTTACATGTTGTTATTCTGTGTTCTTAGGTGCAGTAATTAATCAAATAAAAAATGATTTTGCATGTTAGTACCATTAGTATAAAATATAGGCTTAAGTTTCATCAACAGTTGACAGCAAGAAAACAAATTCCCAGGTAGGTACTATGTTTCTTGTTTTTCATGTGTATTCTTTATTTATTATTATAAATGTACCTAAAATGTCAAAATTAGAAACTTTTTAGGATAAATTGAGTATTGAGAAATTTATATAAAATTTGGCAGGCCATAATTTTGCACTTGGGTGATTGAAGTTTTATTTATTTTTAATGTAGAATTTTAATTTTCTGTAGTTCTTATAGATTTATTATTTTTGTCTTTTTAGGTACCACTATGTTTTGGAAATTTAACTTGATAACAACTTCTCATATTGAGACATTGTTGAGTAAAGAGGTAAGCATTTGTTTATATTTCTGTGGTTTTCATTGTTGAAGTTGGAGATATTAGGTGAAACTAAAGTGTGCATGTCACTCATGTTTTTTTTTGGTTTGTATGATTGTCTTCAAATGGATTCCATCATGTTGGTTTTACATACAGGTGATGGGTAATTGACTTTAATCATTACATCGAGAAAGGGAAGTTGATGTATTGATTGTTCATGAAGATATACAAGTTCATACTATAAAATTTCTATTTTTCTGTATTAGAATGTATCAAAGACCAAAAACATCCTCAGAATAACTAAGATAATGGTCTGGTTGTATCGGGGCATTTTATAATGCCTTTGATTCTAAGACTTGCAGAAAGGTGATTGTAAATGGTAGAGGAAAACAATTTTTCATGGGTACATAAAATATTTGCATGTAGTATTTCCTTCCAAACATAATATATCTATTGATGAGTATAAACATAAGGAAGATTTCTTAATCAGTAAAACAGACAAAAGGTTGTTTTGTCAGATCTATTTAAGTCTAAAGATTTTATAACACATTTCCACCACTTTAGTTTGATCCTATATCTCTTACTTTTTTTAACAATAGAACTCATAATCTTGTAAAAAAGAAAGTGGTCTGAACATCAGGATTTGTGAGACACCAGGATTGAAGCTTAAAAATATTTGTTTGATATATGCATTTGAAACACCTAGATGTTGCATCCATAATTGCAAATCCTGCTTCACAGGTCTTGAAGGTTGATGCCTAACACACAACATTGTTTACCAATTAACTAGCAGGAAATTGTAAAAATCCTTTCATTAGGTAGACATATAGGCCTATTCGTGAGCATATATATATTATTCAGAACTTCTAAGGGAAAATAGAGAAGAGTGTATAATGTTTCAACAACACTATATCTGGTGTAGAGAGTATAGTAGGCAAGGGCAGAATATTCCAATGGTTCATATGCAACTGAAACCCATATTTATTGAACATTTTTGTTAAGTTTATGTAGAGTTCAAAAGACCTAGAAACTTGAGCATTTTCAAATTCTTGACTATTCTTCTTAAGAAGAAGAATTGTCAACTATTTAAAAGTATTCTAGTTTCTGGGTCTTGAATTCTATTTGATATTTCTAGTGATTCTTTCTGATAAATTTTTCGTAATTGTTAAGTTTATCATATTCAAACAATGTAGGTAAGTAAAAGAACTCTCTATTGAAAAGAAACTATATCTATTAGATATCAAGTGATCTTGATCAAGAATAATGTTACGTTGCCTTCTCTGACTTGATGACATTGTGATAGATCAAGTTATAGTTTTTTTTTCATGATTTATAGCTGGAAGTGATGAGACTACTGCAATTGGTAAATTAAAGTAACAAGATAAATCTTTTAATGAATATCAGTCAAATTAAAACTCACTGGATATATAAAATGGATATTTCTGATCAACATTACAAAATTCTGAAATAAAAGAAGGATCTTTAATGTCCTTTCAAAATAATAATAATAGCAAAACTGTTGAAATTTCATGGCATAAAAAGTTATAGAAAAACTAAATCAAAATATAGACACAATTTGGTAAGTTTCTTATAAATTTTTTGTTGGCTTTCAAAATTTGTAGTGCATACTGGAGGGATTTACACATTTTGATAAAAGTTTAGAAAAAATGACCTTTACACTCCAGATAAATATAAAAGAATATATTTTTGTTTCAACCAATGTTTTGCCTTTGCTGCTTCATCAGGGTTAATATACATAACTGTTTGATAGTAGAATATTTGTTAAATTATATAATTTTTGCAAAAGCAAAACGTTGGTTGAAACAAAAATATATTTTATATTTATCTGGAGTGTAAAGGTCATTTTTTCTAAACTTTTATCAAATTGTGTAAATCCCTACAGTATGCACTACAAATTTTGAAAGCCAACAAAAAATTTATAAGAAACTTACCAAATTGTGTCTATATTTTGATTTAG